GGCACACCAGACCCTGTTGCACGGATACAGTGTGAGGAGACACACACACCGACTGCTGTCAGGCAATGTGATGTATGTCCTGAAGGGGGCGCCAGAGAAACAGCAGGTTGTAACTCTGAGCTCACCTCGGGCAATGCTGCCCTTCAGTTAAACGCAAACGGTGCAGCTCTTATATTCGTTCAGTGTTATTGAACTAGGAGCTGGTTATGTGTAAATAGTGGAAAAAGTGGAACACAGGGAATTTTTCTCTCAGTTTTAGTATTTTTTTTAAAGTAATAATATGTGATTTTCAGTCATGAGCGGGTTAAAATGCTGGCCCAGTTCAGTATAATACTATCCATTACACATGTGTTTAGATAGCTGAACGGCCGCTTTGCTGCTATGACAAATCCATATTTGGCTCTTTAGGCACCATTAAGTGCAGAGCTGGATGTAAACCTGCACCTTTCCCAAACAAATCCAACACATATACACTACACTGCCCAGTGTCACCTGCCTTCACACACACACACACACACACACACACACACACACACACACACACACACACACACACATCCCATTTTTAATCCGTAACTATTTCTACTCTGTTTTTTGAATTCCTGCCTTCGCCCTGGCTTGTTTTCTTTTAATTTCTAATTCTACTGCCTTTTATTATAATAATGTTTACTATTAGTAGTAGTAGAAGGAGTAGCAGCAATCTCCCCATTGCTTCCAATTGTCCCTCTTTGTCTCCAAAGTTATTCTATCAGTCTCTTTTGTTGGCTTCCTGTTTTATTTTGGAGGTTACTGTTACTGGTACTTCCTGTCTGGCCCCTGATTCCCTCATTCTTTCCACCTGTTGCTCATTGCATGCACCTGTGTTTCGTGTGTTTAGCATGTGTGCGTGCGTGCATCCTGAATTCCCTTCCCCATGTGTTTGTCGTGCTCTTCCTTTCTTCTGGCTGATCGTTGCCTCTGTGCTCATTCTGCCTGTTTAGATTGCACATTTCTGTTGGTGTTCTTGTTTTTTTTTTCTTCTTTGTTTTGGCAATGTTTAGATATTATGTAGACTTTGTGTATTTTTTTTTTTTTGGGTATATCTATCAGCTACAACAAAGGCTCACTTCTGATTTAGTGTTCTGCGTCCTGTATCTGGGTCCTCTATACGCCACAGCTTGCACATATGCAGACTTCAAAACTTCAAATTTGATGTATGCAGTAAACGAGGAAGAGCTGAAGGCGTGGGACGATGTATTTCTTTTTCTAAAAATCCCTTTAATAATGATGCTTCAGGTCAGATTTAATGTAAGTGTGCTGATTATGTTTCTTTATCCCTTTATGGCAAATGAATTACACTCAGGATATGAGCGTAGGTAGAAGGAGAGAGTGTCTGCTACCATGACTATCAGCAGGCGAACAAATGGAATGTCTAGCATCTGCTGAGAGCTGGAGTGTGCAAACACATTTGTGTATCATTAACATTCTTTTAAATGACACGATTATGTTCTACGCTAGTACGTAACAAAAGCATGTCTATCTGGTTTTGTGATTACTCTGTGACACGCAAGAGAGTCCAGGCAGAAGCTAAAGTTGGTTCATCCTGAGTTATTCTGCACCAAGAAATGACAGATGTAGTCAGAATAAGCACACAAAGTGTGAGTCTGTATCTCCATTGTTATCGTCAGCTACAGTCTTCATAGTTTGTACTTTACTAACATCATGGCTCTGGTACCGAACAAGTGTGGACAAGCGTTGCATGTCGAGCCCCTCCCTTATCCCCACGTCTCTAGTAAGATGCATTACATGCCAAAAAATAAAATAAAAAATTCAGAGAAAGAATTTAAAACTAATAAAAAAATAAAATATCTAAAGTTTCCATTGGTTTAATTAGCTTACCAAAGTAAATCTCAAACAAACACAAATGTTTTTTTGGAGAAAAAGTCAAATTCCTGCATGCACACAGTGTGAAGCGTAAGAGTTAATCTAGCAAAAATGAATGGCTATCTGTAATAAGCTGGTTATTGTTCTAACATGTCTACCAACTTGTGTCCTCCTTGTGCCTGTGGCAAAGGGTGGAGGACTATTCATGCTATTTGTGGCTATGCATGCTTGAATAAACTGGAACAATAAACTGCACCGACCCTTAAAAGGAAACAACCTCCGAGGGGTGAATGTTCCTCTTTGTCACATTGCTTAACTTAACTCAGGGTTTCACTGAAGTCATGCAGTGAGGCCAGGCCCGAAAGCCTCTTGCTTAAAGAAGAAAGAACATCTCTGCTTGTTCTTTTCAAGACTGACAGAAACAGGGGAAGTGATTCCTAATGCACCTAATGTGCACATTACAAGCTCACGTTGCACAAGTTTGTCTCAGTACCCGAGACCGCCATCGCTTCAATGTAGATCTGTAGCCTAAAGACCTTCACATGCCGAGCGCATTTAGAAAGAGTCGTAAATCAGAATGTCAGTGAGGTAGTTTGAGCTGTTGTTATCAGCATTAGCACCAGAGCAGGTAGAGAGCTGATTGACCAGAGAGCAGTGCCTGGTAAAACAGTATTATTTTATGTCTATATAAGTAGCAGTGCGCACTTTGATCTACGAGTCCACTTGTTGCCAGTCACTGCCAGATTGCAGTGATCTGATTGGTCAGAACTTTTTATTTGCATGTGAAAAATTGGAAACGTTTACTCAGTGGGTGTAAACGGCTGCATTAACAACAGGTGAGTCAGAAAAATATTTTGAACCTATGAATTTTCTCATGAATCTTACACGTTCGGTGTGTAGATGCCATCGAAGCCGTGAGTTACAATAATAAGAGGCTCAATGAGTTGATCACGCAAACGTTTTTATACAAACCGATGCTGTCAAGCATCAGAAGCTGCCCTCTGGTTTCTACTTCATGTGGATAAACAAAGCCCGCTGTCCTTCACAAATTTAGTCCAGGGTTTTTGAAAGGAACACCTGAGAGATCTAAAGTCAGCTAGTATTTCATCCTTTGTACATCTGCCTGGCGCTAGCAGGTGTAACAAAGGATTTACATATCTCCCCAACTTTGTGTGACTTCACCCGTTTCCATTTTAGTTTCAGGTTACACTTGAGTCCCTTTTTCTGAGACTCGGGTCTCGAGGGAGCTCAAGGAGTCTAGATGCTCATTATTTGGCAGCTGTGATATGGTTCAGATTTTAAATAGCCTGTGATCCATTGCTTTTTAACAAGTGTCTGTATCAGTAAGCCAGTGAAGTTGGCAACATCTCTGCTTATTAGTGATACAGTAAATACAGCTGGATGCTAAGCCCCCTAGAGCGTAACATCCCTCAGAACAGCCTGAGATCTTCAACCTCAAAGCCTCACTTTGTTCGCCCTCTGAGCAATCAGCAGCCACTGTGGGGTGGGGGGAGGGGGGTTAGAGACCTACACTGTGTCTGCACTTTAAATATTGATATCAGCCTGTCAGCAGTCTGAGTGCGACACTTTTTTTTTTTATGGCTCACACCAGAAGTCTGTCCTGTCTCACGAAGCAGGATTATGAAGATGCTTTTAATGATAGCTAGAGCCAAAGCAGATCTGACACATACTGTCACTCTGCTGTCGGGGTCATAGCTTCTGTTAAAGTACCCAAAGCTACACCCTCTGATTCATCTGGGTCAATCATGGGTACGTTGGCTGATTTCAGGGATTATTTTATGCTCACTGCACTAAAACTGTCTCTGGAAAAACATATATATGTCTTGACCCTTGTGCCTTACCTTGTAACATCAGCAAAACTGTGTTAACCTGGTTACTTTCTGCAAGTCGCTGGAAAAACTGGTATGGTTAGTGTTAGGCTCTGTTTTAAGCCATGAATGAAACAAGTGTTTTCAGGAACTATAAGATGTTATCTTTTGGCCTTATAGTTGTTAATAATTCCTTTCAGCTTTCCGAAAATAAGTGAGAAGTGTGAACCAAACCAGGTCACTGCTATCCTGGTCGATGTTAGGAAGTTCTGCATGTAACAGAACGCGTTCAGGGCTCTAACATGAGCACAGGAGAAACACCAGCGTGCCTTTCCAGAGGAAAATCTACCGGGTGAACCAGATAGTCATTTAATCTCCATCTCAACACAATCACACCTTTATACCAGCAGATTTAAACGGTTCATGAAACTGGAACAAAACAGTCTCTGTAAATATAGAAAAGCTAGAAAAGCCTCAGTTTAAAAGAAACGGGACAAACAAAGATCTAGTTCTCAACACGCATCTCATTTTCACAGAAGTTTCCTAGAATGTCTGCACCCAAGGCAACACACACAGGATAAAATATTCAGCAAAAGACTCTTCTCAGATGACACCTTTGTTCCAAGTTTTCCTTGGATACAATTTTAGGGCGACAGGAATCTGGATATGGAGACAGAGCGAGAGCACTGGACTTTCCAGACGGATATAGTGTGTAAACCAAATACAAGGGAAAGATCAATGCTTTATGAGACAGGAAGAGAAGCATTTAATTGCTTCTGTTTTTTTTTTCATGGAGCCGGGGTGTGGTTAGGGTCCTGTAAAACCTGGAAGTCAGTCATCTGTAGGTGGATTTGTAATGTGTTCAATGTGTAGGAGATTACTGCTGACTGGGAAACGCTTCCTGCGCTTGCTTATCACTATTGCTCGGGGCTGTTTGATTACGAGGGAAACGTTACGAGTGGGGAGACAAAAGGGTGGAAAGAGAAACTGAGGACTAATTTCTGCTCCTCCATACTTCCAGTGACTTTTCCCCCTTTGTGTTCATCAGCACACTCTGAACGAGCAGGTTTTGCTGTGTCGTTTACTCTGAGAGACAAAAGTGTCAGACTTCATTACAGCACACAGGAAGCATTTCAAAACGCTTGACAGAATAAAAACCACAGGACTTTCTCACGCTATCAAAATAGTGGCAGACGTGCTGTCACGGCTGCATCTTTTTAAACACACGGACTAACAGCTCTCCGCTTTTCCTCCACATAGATATTTCAGTTTGCGGCATTTTTAAATATTAAAGTGGTGCATGTTTACCTTTCCCAGTTTTCTCCTGCCTCTCGCAGCCACAGTCAGCGGTCCAGGATCAGGTAGACAGCGTCCTGTCTGTTGTGCTCTTTTTTTTTTTTTTTTCCAGGCAGGTAATGAGCTCTTCCATTAAAGGTGAGAAGTATCAGGTGAGCGTGGGCTGAACAAACACAGCATTCTGCAATCTCCTTGGTCACAAAGTACAGCAAATATTACACTCCAGTGGTTTTGCTGACGCCCTAAACACACCCACGTGGTGATGGTCTATCAAGTCACTGTTTAACACCATGCCTGAGAATGTTAACAAAACCTGAGGACACGGTATGATGAGCTGTGGTGACAGTTACTGCTCTTCTATTTTTTTTTAAATGCTGAATTACAGAAAGAAGAGGGTTGAAAACATATTTGATCTACTGCACAATGGTTAATGGTTATCAACCGACTCACACTATAACCAGGGTTTGCCTCTTAACTTCATTTAATTTTACAGTACTCTGTTTTTGAACAGATGGGGTAGCCTGACCTCATTTTTATCTGTAGTTAAATCAACGTTAAGCTACTGCTGCAGGAATCATAAAAACAACAACACAAAAATAACACAAAACTATCGATTGTCACGTATTTTGACTCAAAATCATGTCAACACCTTGTTTTTTTTGCAGCACTTTTGACTGACTTTTATCAGATGATCTTGAAAAGGTTTGTTTTTAAGATAACGGCGTAAGCACTGCACATATCTTTACGTCGAATTGCTGAGATTACTTGAAGTAAAACTTGTATGCAGACACCTGTTCACACTGACAGTTTAAAAAGAATAAACCTCCAAAAACTCTGTATGTAAAGGATGGAGGGAAAAATGGAGCCAGTGCAGAAATGACTGACTTGCCTACCTTACCTCATAAAAAGGGAGTCAAAGGCTTGTTTTACCATAAATGTCTATAAAACCTTTTTCTTTATTATCCAGAGGAATCGCCTCCCTCTTGGTATAAAAACGAATGCAGACTAAAGTTATTTCCTCACTGGCTCCACTTTTTACACACAGAGCTTTCAATAGAAACAAGGTGTTGACAATGATGAATCATGGCTCAATGTTCTTCAAGTTTTTCCTGTTTTTTGTGACCTGCTGCTTCATAGTTTAAAGTTGATTTAACTACAGATTAAAACGAGGTCCGGTTACACCATCTGTTCATGTACATCTGTGTTTTAACACGTTATGCGTTTCCTTAATAAGGTTTCTGTGCCTTTAAAAGCATTTTTATAAACTTTAATAGAATTCAGCTTTGAAACATCGATTTCTCTTCGCTTTCTTAAGCGCCCCCACATTCGGCTGCTCTCTGGCTTTAATGTTGCTACACAAGCATAATTAGGTTCTTAGTCAATCACATGATTGGGTATAAAAAGAGCATCTAAGAGAAGGACAGTTTCTCAGAAGTAAAGATGGGAAGAGGTTCACCTCTGTTCAAAACTCTCTACAAAGGGTGGAACATATTTCTTCTGCAAGTGAAGACACTGAATATCATCTGCAATACATAATATCATCAAAAGATTCACAGAATGTGGAGAAATCTCTGTGAAAGAGACAAATAGTGCCAAAATACGATCTCTGCTTGTGATCTTTGTAAAAACAGGCATTATTCTGTGACAAAGTTTGTGGTGCCACCCAGAAATGCAGGTTAAAGCTCTGTGATGCAAAGAAGAAGCCCTATGTTAATACGATGCAGTAACCCCGCTGTCTCCTCTGGGCCAAAGCTCATCTAAAATGGACTGAAGCAAAGGGGAAAACTCTCCTACTCCTGGTAACTTGGAAATTGGGCTTGTTATCCGAGGTCAGTTCTGAAACGCTTCCATCAGCTTGTATATCTGGAAAGGCACCATCATTGCTGAAAGGCATAAACAGGTTTTAGAGCAACATTTGCTCCCATCCAGATGATGTCTCTTATAGGGTGGGCCTTGTGAAGTCTTAAGCAAGACAATAACAAAACCACATGCTGCATCTCACATAAAAGCATGGCTTTGGAGTAGAAGAGTCCTGGGGTTAACTTTCAACAATTTGGCCCACCATCAAATGAAAAATTTGACAAATTTGTTTTATTATAGTCGACAATTAATAAAACATGGGTGTATGAGACCCTGCTACTGTCACCCCAAGACTCACAGGTACAGCTGGGTTAAGACCTAGACATTAGAAACTCGACAACAAGGAGCTAACCTTGGGTCACTAAAGCAGACAAATATTGCTTATATATGCTGAGAAAAAAGTGGATGAATTATTTCAGAAAGGAACAGCTGTCATCCTCCAAGGCCACACATGCCTACATCTGGCTCATCCTGCAACCGCATCAAACAACACAGTCGGTCATATTTTACACGACACAGCACGTTGCTTCTTCAGCAAAGCAGCGGCAGCAAAAGGGACACAGTATGCACTGTGATGTGGGTCTGACATTCAAAAAATAAAAAATAAAAATGGTTGATTGTATAGTAAAGTAGCAAAATGCCAATAACACTCATGGCATGAAATGAAGAATGAAGCTCGTCCAGAGTCCGAAAGTCCACACGAGGAATCTATTGAGATCCACAAAGAAACTGAAATTTGTTTGGATTACATTCGCTGAGCTAATTGTGATTGAAGATTGAAGAAAAACAAGAGCCAAGAAGAGGAAAATTATTCAGAAAAAGCATGCAAGTTTTTTTTCCCCACCAAAGATATCAGCATGCACTCCTCCGGCGAAGAAAATCAATAACTTTATTAGCATTAACAAATTAAAATGTGCAAGTACAGGGAGTGTAAGAATCATCTGGAAGACAAAGCAAGAGTTTTAAAGGTTGGCTGCAAAGTAATCAATGTACATAATCAATATATGTCTGTGGTTTGATTCATAATTTTAAGTGGTGAATCAGGAAAGCTTGTTTTCTAATCTATAACGGCGTGTAAAAACCTGCGGACCAGAAGGTTGTGTTACAGGAATTTGACATGTGACCATTAGTCAGATATGAATTCATGAAGTGGGTCTTTGTTGTAACCTTATACATAAATTTAGAAAAACATTTTTTCAGAGATATATGATAGGAAGAAGAAATGGCCACTTCATTAGGTGCACCTCACTGGTGCCTTCAGAACTGCCTCGGTTCTTGGAAACAGTCTTGGAAACATCTCTTAGAGACTTTCATCCATATTGACATGATAGGATCACACAGTTGCTGCAGATGTGAATCTCCTGTTCCATCCCATCGGTGCTCTGTTGTACTGGGATATGGTGATTGTGGAGGTCATTTGAGCACAGTGAACTCAGCATCATGTTTAAGAAACCACTCAGAGATGATTTGAGCTTTGTGACAACGGTGTGTTATCCTGCTGAAAGCAGCCATCAGAAGATGGTCAGTAGCAACACTCAGATAGGCTGAGTGAGGCAGATTGATGCTATGTAATTGCCACCGGGTTGTGGTCTTCAGCTGTTGTAAAAAGTGGTCATTTGAGTTACTGTTCCTTCCTCTCTAGCTATTCTCCTCTGACCTCTGCCATCAACAAAACATTCTTACTAAGAGAAATGCCCCTTGCTGCATATTTCCAGAATTATTTACTATTCTCTGTAAACTCTAGATACAGCTGTGATTGGAAATCCCAGTTCCTGAAATACTCAGACCAGCTACTCTGGCACCAACAACCATGTCAATGCAAAATCACTTAAATCACTTTTTTTCTGATGCTTGGTCTGATCCAACATTGGCCAGTGAGTTTATATTTAACTACTCACTAGTCAAAGCCAAAACACTTTTCATACAATAGGTATGGCAGCTGTATAACTATATTTAACATGGAAGAAAATAATATTTGTTAAAGAGTTCCTAAAGTCAGTCAGCACTTCATTAGCGAGGCGTGTACACCTGCTTAGTTTTGCACTGATATGGCCCCTCCAGTCAGGATTTCATTTAATGTTAGCGTCCGAATCACCTCTCTGACGAGGACCCAAACCAGTCGTGGCACATGGCTGCCCTTGAGGCGACTGTTGATGTGATTTGGCTTTATACACATAAAACCGGACCCTCCTACAGGACTTTTGGGGCTTTGATCGACGTGAATGGAAAGCTGAGCAGATATTTGTTGACTGCTATGTGAGCAAAGCTTTCAAAGTGCATCCATAAGAACAAACAGAGGCTTCAAGCAGAGTGCAGTGAAGATCATTTAGAAGTCTCATTGCCAGCTTGAAGTTTTTACATTTCCATGAAAATGAGCTTTTAAACGAGCAATTAGCAACATTCCTGCGTTGGCTTTGATACCGAGCACTCTGCTGCGGTACAGTTTGAACTTGTGACTTGAGGGTTTAATGCGACACGATTCTTCTTCCATTTATTGCTTCTTCGTGTTCTAATCACTTCTCTGATTAAACCAATTAGAGCTTCATAACAGTGTGAAGTTAATTTAGGCAGAGATAACATCCTGACTTCCAAGAAGGGGGGCTGTGCAAAATAAGCTGCATGATGATAAATGTACTAACGTTTTTAATTCTATCAGACTCGCACAACGACACAACGTTAAGATATTTCAAGTCTCCTAGCTGGAGAATTTTCCGCTATTAGGTAAGACTCTCTGGGAAAGGGTTCACGGCCTCGGTACCCCAGAGTGCCGCGCAGTTACAGTTTGCATATTTGTACATCTGACACTGACAGAATATGTGAAAGAATGTGAAGCTTTTCTCGGCTCGAAGAGCCCCTCCCGCTCTCTGAAAGTAATTTTGTAAAACAGGAAATCAGAGGCACACAGAGTTGCAGTCAGCCAAGTGTCTGCATATCCTGAAATACAAAGCAGATGGAGAAAAAAAAAGATTTCCAACAGTGTTGGATTAAGATGAACATTTTAATTTTAAACTTTCAGGTTTGCAAGCAACGTCTTATTGTTTAGTCTGACATCATGGTGACACGGGACAATAAAGCAAAGAGCAATTGCTCAGTTTGACTTTTATGGATGGCTCCATTTACTCCACTAATCTCACTAAGCTCTTCTTCTAGATCCTCCCCAGCCTTACCTATCACACTGCTGCACATCAGTGTTTACTTCAATGCACTGCGAGCACAGTGTGCTGCTTCTACAGTCACTATGCCCACCATCTATCAATGTCCCACGAAGCTGCTGGAGAGTCAGGGATCTTCCTGTTCCTTGTCATGTTGATGGAGCGGCCCACACTTCGTATCCGAGACTCAAAACTGTAATTATGGTCCAGCTTACCTATTTCTCATACGTAAAGCGTGTCTTAAAATACATCACCACTAAATGTGCTCATGGCTGATGCTAAAGAGCTTTGGTTGTTAGCAACAGTTGTCAGTAACTTACACATACAGGGGCCTCATTATTAGAAACTCGTGTATCCTGCATTTTAAAAATGTGCGTATATACACACACAAACCCAAAAAGTTGGGATACTGTCTGTAATGTAAACAAAACAGAAAGCAATGTTTAGCAAATCTCATAAACCGGTATTTTTATTAACCACAGAACACAGAAAACAAATTAAATGTTTGAAGTGAGGAAAAACAACCTTTTATATATATATATATCTAAAAAAACTCTGTTAGCTTAGTTTAAATTTGATTGCCGCAAAAAGGTTAAAAAGGTTGGGCAACAAACGTCAAAGTGAGAGTAAAAAGCTTGGAGGAATATTTTACAGCTAATTTGGTTATTTGCCAACAGGTCAGAAACACGGTTTGGTACAAAGAGTCTTAGAGAGGCAGAGGTTCACCTGCATTTGCATCATCTTGAGAAAAAGATTTCAGATGATCGTCAACCTGTGAGGATTTTTAGTATCTCATGATTTATAGTACATAATATCATCACAAGAATCAGAACACCTTGAGAAATCTCTGTGTGTAAGGGACAAGGCCAAAAACGATACCAGATGTCTGATCTTTGGGCCATCAGGCGGCACTGCATTAAAACTAGCACGAGCTGAGGAACACTTCCAGAAGTCACTGCCTGTGGACACAGTTCACTGTGCCATCCACAAATGCAGGTTAAAGCTCTGTCAGGCAGAGAAGCCGTATGTGAACGTGATCCAGAAACACTGCTGTCTTCTCTGGGCCAAAGCTCATTTAAAATGGACTCAGGCCAAGCAGACAACTGTTCTGAGGTCAGATACAATATCTAGCTTGTTACCAGTGCTCAGTTCTAGAGCACCATATGGTCCCATCCAGACCCCCTTTTTCAGGGAAGGACTGTGTGGCTCAGAAAGACAATGCAAAACTGCAGCCATTGGAACGGTATGGCTTTGTAGTAGACGAGTTTGGGTGCTGACCTTTCATCAACAATCAAGTGGCACATGATCAAACAAAACAGAACAAAGCAGACCCGAGCTGGAATCCTCCATCAGACAAGAATGGGACAATATTCGTCTGCCAGAAGTCCAGCTGCTCTCCTCAGTTTTCCAAAATTTAGGGTCTGCTGTCAAAAGAACAGATGCTACACAGTGGTGAACATGGCCCTGCCATCAAATCCAAATTGAGCTAAGATTTTTTCTAAAATGGTAATTATCTTTTTTCAGTTGAAACAGTTGATATTTTTTACTGTGTTCTATTGTGATAAAATATGGGTCTATGACATTTCCAAATTCATTCATCTTTATTTACATCTTACACAGCGTCACAACTTTAAGTACTCGTGGTAGATAAAAAGCATCATAGGTCCACTTTAAAGCAAGTTATTTATTACCAGCTTCAGTCCCAGCTGGTAGCTGGTTGTAATATCATAATGAAATCCCTAATAAGCCCTGCTGTACATGTTGTGTTTATATTCTAAACTGTCAATCCCTGAATAGACCTCTGAGCTGTGTAGAAATGACAACACAATGATGCAGTGTGACCGCTAGTTACATTACTTGCTGCCATAACAACCATATAAGCAGACCGTTGAGGTCTTTAACGAAGGTCAGGACGTCAAAGCAACGAATTATTGAAGAACTCTTTGGGAAAATGAAAGCTGATGGGAATTAATCTGGAGATATACTGTCATTACAACTTAAACAGTACTTTATAAAGCATTCATTTATTCAGTTTTAAGGCCTTACAGTATATAATAACTCACAGCTCCACAAGCTCCCCAGTCCATGAGATTCCCCTTTTGGTGCCTTTACATCTGAAAATAATTTTGTCAATCTGGATTACATGGATTCACTCACTCACCTTTGTCTTTTACAAATGACCAAACATCAATTTGGAGTGAAGTGACAATGTTTTCCCAGCATTTCATTGTCTTCAACTTCTGTTGAGAAGTTCATCCCCATGCACCTTTAGGTCACTTATATGTAGTAACATTACATTAACAGCATATTATAAGATGTCCCATCACGTCCCTAAATCTTTGTCCCTTTAAAAAAAATCCATGTGTCAGCTTTGCTGGAAACTCCAGTGGGTCTCACTGCGGTCCCAGGCCTCCTTGCATGCTCTGGCCATCGCCATGGTCGCTCCCCCACAGTCGGTAAAACTGACTGAAGTCCACGTAGGGTGGGACCCTGCCCGTCTCGTCAGGCTGCGCCGCTTGACTCCCTCTCTGGCGGAACAGGCTTCCATCTCCTGAGCTGGAGCTGGAGCTCTGCGTCTGGGTGTTGGTGGACTGCAGAGTGGCTGTGGGGCTCTGACTGCTGGGGAGCGTGGAGGAGCAGAAGGAGGAGGAGAAAGGTGGGTGGTTGGAGAGGATGAGGGAAGAGGAAGACACAGGTATGAGGGTTGGAATAGAGGAGGAAGAGGATGAGAAGCACCAAGAGGAGGGGAAGAGGTCCATGTCACGAGTGGAGAGACAAAGGAGAGAGGTGGATGAAGGGAGAGGCCGAGCAGGACGAGGCATGGTGGAAAGAGAAAGGAGGGAGGTGGAGGAGGGGAGGGGGGGAAGGGGCGAGAGGGGATAAAGAGGGGAAAGAGGGAGTTCAATTATGGGCTGTAGGATGTTGACGGAAGCTTGGCTGGTAGTGGGGTGAAACGTGCTGCAGGAGCGGAAAACGGAGAGGCAAGGACACAGTGAAGGGCGCAGGATGGATATTGGCAAGTTGGGAACCAAGAGGAAGAGAAATATGGCTGTGAGTCAGACGGCGAGTGACAGACGGGAGCAGAGTGGAAATCATAGAGGAAGAAGAGCTGAAGAAACAATCTTGGAGGACGACGATGCAAAGGGAAGAATCAAAACGTGCACTTGTATCAATCAAAGCAGCGGGAACGTTTAGGAAATGCACTCGCACACAGAGAGCTCTTCATGCTCGCTCACTTTATAAAGCAGGCGGTTTTGAGCAAGTAGTCTGACAAGGCAAGTGCACACTTCAGGTATGCTAGGAGAGGCTGTCAATCATCCGTGCATTCCAGTAAGCACATATATAATTAACAAAGCACAATTACCACCTATGCACTAGGGCTGCTCGATTATGGCAAAAATGATAATCACGATTATTTTCACTGAAATTGAGATCACGATTATTTGACGATATTTATTTAACCCTTTAAGACCTACCATAGAACCAAGTCCACCAGAGCTTATATTATTTTTTTACATGCTGTAGTGCCATTTGTGGGAGCATTTCAAGTTGCTATACATCAATACAACTGTTATAGCCCATATTTTAATAATATGTATGCATTAAGTCATAGTAATTACATAAATTGCAAAAAAGTGCAATAAACTACAAAAAAAATTGAAAATCGCTTTTGTTTTGTTTACATATATTTCTACTTGGAGAAATTTAAGAGGTTTATCCCTCAAAACTTTAAATACAATAAAGTTGCAAAAAATAGTTTCCCACCACAGGAAATTTATTTTGAGTGTCTTCATAGTTTTATTTTGGAGATACAGCAATTTTTATATACTGCAGGAAAAACAAAAAACAATCCTATGATGCAAATTTGCAAAGAAAACAGCAGGTGCATCATTTCACTGTGGGAAGTGTTACGAACAGCTGATCGGATCGGCAAAGCGTGTTTCTGGAATATTATGCTTTTGTTCCTGCAAGCGCTTTTTATGCAATATTTGCAAAGCTATATGTGGAAGGAAACCGTGACCGAGGACAAGCTGATGGCATCAGATGTAAGTACAACTCCTCCGGTTTCATATGCAAAACAAATTATTGCGCTAGCTTACACGGTTCAGGTTCTACAGGGATTTAAAAATAGTTACGCAAAACGGAGCGTGCTGCTCTGACCGGCTTTAAAGGGTTAACAATGACTTTAAAAAATAATATAAAATAGTGTGCAACACCACTGAAGTTTTTTTTTTACTCTCTTTTCAACCAACGGCAGTCACTCTCCTCTCCAAATAACTTCTGCTTAGCTTTCCGAGCTTCCCTCGGGTCCTCTTAATCAGCTGTCTCCAACCTTTTTTGCGCCACGGACGGTTTATGCCCGACAATATTTTCACGGACCGGCCTTTAAGGTGTCGCGGATAAATGAGGGAGGGGCTAATAATCGGCTCAGTCATTTTTAATGATCGTTGAAAGCCCAGATCGTAATCGTGATTAAAATTCGATTAATTGAGCAGCCCTACTATGCACACAGCAAAAGAGTTTTACATGAGGAGAAAAAATAGCCTCTGTGGCTCAACAAGAACGTTTTAGGGCAGAGTGCAGATCTAAGTCATAGACGTCAATAACATGTATTACCACTGTAAATCAGTTATAAATGGCTGTTGTTTCTGACACTATATGTTGACCTTGACTATAAATATGTCATAATGAGTGTGCCGCTGATGGATGACGGGATCCGAGAAGGTGCTAAGAAATGATGGAACTGAAGCATCAAGTTTGGTAGAGGAAACAAGATCTAGTGCACTGACATCCTGATCCAAGTAAATATGTGTAAGCACATCTACATATGCAACTTTAAAAAAAAGAAAGAAAAAGATTTGGACAAAAATTGGAAAATAATTGCAGTTAAAATTAAAGGCGTCAAACTCTGCTCTTCTAGAGTGATGTTTCCACCCCAAGTGTTTTGGTTCTAACTAGGTTTTTAAAAATAAGTCAGCCACCAAAAGAAGCTGAGCAAATCCTTACAAAGGCCGCGGTCAGACCAAAGTTATTGGAGTTAACTAAAACTAAACTACAAAATGAAAACTACATGTCGGGAAAAACATTTTAGTTCATTTACATAAACACACACACACACACACACACACACACACACACACACACACACACACACACACACACACACACACACACTTTTTTTTCTTTTTCTTTTTTGCCTAATTAGAATAAAGAAGCGCTATATAAAAGTTGTAAAAACTACATTAAATTATCAAACTCCCTCAGGAAAACAACTGAAACTGAAAGAAAACCAAAAACAGCAAAAAGTCCAAACAAAATAAATCTAATTTGAAATGACAGAACTATAATTCTTATTCAGACTGTTCAGCACGCTGTTGCATGTGCAGCACATGTACTAACGCATGAGTCCCAAAAAGAAGAAGGAAACTGCTTCATCATGCTACGTTACAGTGAGGTGCAGGTACAGGTTACAGGTATTTTGTTGGCTGATTAAGTCCACATAGACTGCTCTGGAACATAAATATAAGCATTATTATAAATTCTGTCTGTCAGGATTCCCAAATTGGTATGCAGTTCCAGCTGTTCCACCTGACATGATCCAGATCTATATTCCTATAGTCTGTACCCGTATTCAGTCTCTCAGCAGTGCAACCCCTCTGCGCTGGTGCAACACAACTCTTTTCCGTCTGCATCTCATTCATCTCTGCTGCACAGCTTGTGCGGGACTGCTTGTCCCCGTCGGCCAGCAGTGGCAGCAGGACTGAGGACATTTAAGCAGCTTTTGTTCTACAACACTCAGTTTCTTGGAAAAAGTATTAACAGGCACCTGCATTATCTCTATCTCTACACTGACATTTAAAAATAAAGAAAAGCAAAACAAAAGAAACAAGCTGTGGAATGAGGAAGTGGAGTTTTAAAATACATTTTATCTGCACTTGTTATCTTCTGAGTTTCAAGTGAAATTAATCATGGCGTGCTATCCCAACAGCAGAGCAGCCGAGCGAAAGCCATGCTAACATATGAATAAGCATAGCAGTGCAGGAACACAAGGGTGTGTGAAAATAAGACCTAAAGACTCAAAATAAGTATAGCATGTGAGGGAGGACTTTCTGCTTATTTAAAAGACAGCAAAAATAAACCTAACAGCAGGGAGTGAAGAGTGAAGGCAGAACAAAGCTCGCACAGAGGATCCGCCCCACAGCAGTGCAAACAAGGGAGTTAAAATTGAGCTTATGAAACAAAAACAGGGCAGAGGTGCGTCAAAGTGAAAAAGAGGCTAATTCAAAGTATGCCCAGCAGGGGAGAAGGAGTGAGGACCCAGAGCAGGCAGGGACTCAAGACAATGCAGGCTTACCCAGGTGTCGGGGTGCCTTCCTCCAGGGTGGAGGCCGTGTTGGTTCCATTGGTCAGGGTGCTTTGTGAGGGCATGACCAGCGAGAGGGTGACACTGGTTTTACTGGTGCTCTGGCTGTTTGAGTAGGGCACAGACACGGGACAGATACGGCCGCCTGAAAGAAGAAGTAGAAGAAAGCTGAGTCATGTATATTTGTGAGCCGCCAACTAATTTCAACAAGGACTTTAGAAAAGCAAAGGTCCTGGCTCTGGGAGTAAACCCGATATTCTTCTCAAAAGCCTGATTGTTTAGGCTCTATTTGATATTCTTTTTAACAGCTCTACTCAAGGATCAGATGTTATTTTCTGATTATTTTCCAGGAAACCGGTCTGAGTTTAAACTGGGTATCTAATAACTGTGATCCGATGCTTTGGGATCACACTGAGACACTGCTCCCTCTTCTGATACAAATGCCAATGCACAATCGTCAAATATAAAAATTTTATCTGATCTTCGGTTAAAAATTTTATTTAACATTCAATGAACCTCGTAAGGACAAGAACAAGATGTCCGGCATCAACCTTGCACGGCGGCTGAAACCAGATCCTACCAAAGAACGCCTGCAGAAGCACAGGAAGGACAAGCCAAGTGCACAAACACAACCAAGGACCCTAGATAGTCTTGCTTCAAAGAGACAGGCCTGGGGCATGAGCTACTTCATGCCACCTCATGATGTTGCTTTTCAAACACATGAGGGTAAAGTAAACAGAAGTTAATATGTTTATAGCAACAAAGACAGACACCTGCACAGGAAAGCGGCAGACAACCAGGGAAGTAAACCGGAGATATTCCTTGTATGGGGAATCTTCTTCAGCAATATTGTGACGACAATTAAAACAACTGTTTGCTCAACAACATGCAAAATCCTTCGCCTGACACTTGTGCCTGAGGTCAGGAGCCTTTTTTTAACGGTACAGTATGAATAATGCATTCTAATGTGACTAACTCGCTAAAGTGTTAAATGAGGAAACTGTGTTGGTGTAGCTACAGCAGAAGGCCGCTTCTTAGACGTGCTTTCCTTGAGATATGAATCAATGCCTAAATGCCAGATCCTACCCTGCGTGGGCGTGAGCGCTGCATCAGCCAGTGGGTAGTTGAGCGTGCGGATGAGCAGGGTCATGTCTTCGTGTCGAGAGCAGTAAGTCGCCCTCTGACGGCCGGACACGAACACATCGTGGTGAAGCCGCTTGACCCGATCAACCACAGACTGAGCCACCGCCTCCAGACTGGTCTGCTGGGCTAGCTCTGCTGCTACCATGGCAACAATTTCCTACAATAGACAGCAGGGTCAGAGAAAGAAAAGGTTAATGTAAGAGTGGAAGAAGTAAGGAAAGGATTAGACCTAAGGACAGAAAAAGGAGCCTAGGAGAATAAAGGAAACAGAAATAGACTCAAACTAGGCAAGAAAACAAAACTCGAAAGAAAAAAATATTAGTGAAAGTAAGGAAGAAGAGGAAGGAATGACGATAAATGAGGTGAAAGTAGCTTATCAGAATGAATCTGCTAACCTGATTAGCCTGTTCGGGACCATGGGCGGACTCGAGGGCATTTATCAGTCCCTCTGACATCAGCAACAAGAAGCCTGTGACGCCTTCCAAAGACTGGCCGCCGTGAATCTCTGGCTCCGCAACAACTGGCTTTGACTTGGCCGCGCTGTCGTAGGAGACGGACAGCACTTAAATTAATATTAGACACATAAAAGGAAAGACGGTACGGGTCAAGTCTGCAAGATATGCTGGGGGAAGGCGACAGAGGGAGAACCCAGGATGAAAAGCAGACATAAGAGCCCCTGACCTCCATATAATAAACTAATCTTATAGATCCAAAGAAGCGCTTACATTGTTCACATCACATTTCCTGCACTCCCTTTAATGCTACAAAGGAGGAAATTCTATACAGACTCTATTATGTGTTTTATTGAGGATCATAATTGGAATGACTCAAGGGTTTTTTATTTTTTTTATTCAGTTGGCCTCGACAACAATAGGAAGAGAGAGGTGTGAGATAGAAGAGAGCACGGGGCCCCCGGATAACAGAATTTCATACAATACAATACAGTTTTATTTATATAGCACATTTAAAACCTGAAGGCACACCAAAGGGCTTCACAGTAATATGGAAAATCAACATAAGTCAATAACAGGGTACAAATCGGGCACTAGCACAGACAGGATAGAGGCACTAACAGACCAGAAGAGTTAGATAAATACAAAATCCACTAAGAAGACAAAAACAGCAGTAAAATTAATAATAAAATAATAACATTTAATAACATTTAATAAAAAATTGAAACAATTTAAAAGTTTAAAGTTTAAAAGATTTAAAAGGGTATTAACTGGTCATGAAAGCCAAGTCAAATAGATATGCTTTCAATCTTGATTTAAAGGATTGGATAGAGTCCAAGGCTCGAATAGAAGCAGGGAGGCTATTCCAAAGGTTGGGTGCAGCTGAAGCAAAGGCACGATCGCCTCTGGTCTTCAGTCTAAACTTAGGTTGGGCCAGGAGTAATTGACCTGATGATCTTAATGCACGACAAGGAGTGTACAGATTGAGGAGGTCAGTGAGGTAACTGGGCGCAATGTTATTCAGGATTTTAAAAGTGAGTAGCAAGATTTTAAACTCAATGCGATATTTGATTGGTAACCAGTGTAGATCAACAAGAGCCGGAGTAATAGGGTCAAATTTTCTAGCTCCAGTAAGAAGGCGAGCCGGAGCATTCTGAACGAGTTGCAGCCTTCGAAGAGAGAAGGCTTGGAGACCACAGTAGAGAGAATTACAATAATCTAACCTGGAGGTCACAAAAGCGTGGATAAGTTTTTCCAGGTCCCTGTGTGGTATATAATGCTTAGCTTTAGAGATGTGGCACAGTTGAAAAAAAACAACAAAAAAAAACACAAAACAGATTTAACTACTGATGACACTTGCTTATCGAGCTTAAAGGAGCTATCCAAATAGACACCCAGGTTACGTATAGAATCAGAGAGAGAGTTAGCTAGGGGCCCCAGCAGGGCAACAAGCTGGTCTCGAGGAATATGGCTGTCGAACACCATAACTTCAGTTTTTTTTTCTCATTTAAAATGAGAGAATTATCTGACAGCCAATCTTTGACCTCTCTCAGTCAATCGTACAGGGAGTTCAGTGATGCTGACAAATCATCAGTCAGTTGACAATAGATTTGAATGTCATCAGCGTAAAAGTTATAAGAAATATTATATTTTTCCAAATATGAAGCCCAAGGGTAGCATATACAAAGAGAATAATAAAGGGCCCAATACAGACCCCTGGGGCACACCACAGCAGAGAGGGGCAACAGACGAAGAGTATCCTCCCATCACAACAGAGAAGGATCTATCTGTGAGGTAAGAGTTAAACCAGTTAAGGGCAGAACCCTTGATGCCTACAACATGCTCTCTAGCCTCCTCAAGAGAATATTATGATCAACCATGTCAAAGGCTGAAGACAGATCCAATAAAACTAAAACGGCAGGGCGACCAGAGTCAGCAAATACAAGAAGATCATGATAGACTCTTAGCAGGGCCGTTTCAGTGCTATGGTGTGGCTTAAAGCCAGACTGTATTTGTCAGTAATATTATTTGCAACTAAGTAAGCCTGCATTTGGAGAAAGACGGCTTTCTCTAGAACTTTTGATAAAAACGGAAGTTTCGAGATGTGTAAGGTTAAAAGAGTCAATTAGGGCAAGGAAATCGTTGGCTAGGGGGTCATCAGCACAGCAAATATGTATGTTAAAATCGCCAGTAATAAGAGCTTAGTCATAACTTAATAAAAATGAACCTAAGAAGTCAGCAAAATCACAAATAAAAGACCTATTATATTTAGGTGGTCGATAAATCGCAGCACATAGAATCGTTGGGGGTCCAGCAAGCTCCAATAGTTGAACCTCAAAACTAAATAAGTAGGAGAGGGCAGTTGCCGAACTTTAAGTTTGTTTTTAAAAACAGAGGCCACGCCTCCACCTCTTCCTGAGGGTCTCGGTGAACTGAAGGTAAGGAAGCGGCTGATCTGATAATAGTTATACAGAAGTACCACCGTGCAGTTATATGCCTCCACCAGCTGGTGAAGCTGCGTTTTACATCTACAATCTCACGAGATTTATTCAGTGTAGTCCACCTCCAAACCACAGGTCACAGGATAGAGGATGTAGTCTGCCTGAGATAAATGTGATTTCTCGCAGAAAATTATCAAACTAAAATGAAATGGTGTGTTGGTCCTACGCAGAGCCTGCACACAGCTTTCTGACCGTCTCAGTATCTGAGCTGAGTTCTGGACACAGACGAAGCCTCTGTTTGTGAAGCAGTGCTGACACAGAGCGCCTGACAGGTATGTTTTGTAGGGGTGAATAAAGCTATTAAAATATCTCTGGTGTTTCAGTTCTCAAGCTGGTGGACGTGTAATGAATATTGACTGTCTGCCTTGAAAGGTGAAGCAACAGCTCTAAGTTGTTAAGTTTGCAAAAATAAGGTGATCTAAAGCATAATGATCACTGCTGTACATAACAGGAAACTGACACCATGTGAGATGTCAACAAGGGACTCAAGAAAAAACAAAAACAAAACAAAACAAACAAACATGGATACCAGCCCCTTCATTAGTTACACCTTGCTACTACTGAGCTGGAACTCCCTTTTTTCATTCAGAAGTGCCTTAATTCTTCATGGTTGTAAACATTCCTCACAGGTTTTGCAGCGCGTTCTTGATGTAAATCCCTCATTTAAACATCCCAAAGATGCTATTCAGCATTGAGATCCGGAGGCCGTGGAGGCCATTCGAGTACAGGACACTTATCGTTGAGGTAAAGAAACCAGTTTAAGATGATCTGAGCTTTGTGACAATGACTGTGGCTTTTAAACAATCCTCCACTGGTAGAGAGGAGGTAGAGAGGAGGACTGTTACAGGATGGATCCATGCTTTAATGTATACCAAACTTTTACCCTACATCTGAATGTCACAGCAGAAATCGAGGCATACTTCTCTTCCAGTCCTTTGTTGTGCATTTTTGTTGAGTCTGTGTGAATTGTAGCCTCTTTCTGTTCACAGATGAGAGGAGTGTTGTGCGTTCAGAGACGCTCTTTAGCCTAACTCTTCTATAACAATTGAGCCTTTCAGTTAGCTCGAAGCAGACTGGTCCTTCTTCTCTGACCTCTGCATCAACAAATCATTTTCACTGTCACTCACTGCACATCTTCTGGTTTTCAGACCATTCTCTGTAAACCCTACAGATGGCCATGTGGGGAAAATCCCAGTAGATCAACAGTTTCTGAAATAGTCAGACCAACAACCAAATCACATTCAAAGTCACTTAAATCACTTTTCTTCCCCATTCTGATGATCTGTTTGGACTTCAGCAGGTAGACTTGACCATGTCTACATGCATAAACACATCAAGTTGATTGGCTCATTAGAGATTTGCATTAACGAGCAGATGAACAGATGTAACTAATGAAGTGGCCATTGAGTGCAAATTCCCATTTTAAAAAAATATCAAAAGAACCACCAATAAACAGCTCTAAAATCAGGATGCCACACACACACGCGCACACGCACACACAGCTCAGCTCAGAGGTTTCAAGACGGGCACCCAAGATCAGCCTCACTGCTTCACTATTATACCACTGGAAATATGTCCTTAAATATGTCCAAAAGTGGATTTTTGGAGGTCATGCTGACCTCGGTCTTTTACCGGAAAACTGTGAATCCAAGCTGACGCTTATGACACATTTAATGAAATTCCCTCCAGGAGTTCTTCAGCTATTGTGTGCACAAAAACTGGGCGGATGTTGTGGCTTTGATCTTTTAAACACTAAAATCTAAATCAGTTAATCATGAGTCATAGTGAATGGATGTAGCAAAATTAACAGGAACTTCCACAGTCAGACAGACGGAGCCGTTGCTATCACGGCACACAAAGAAGGTACGATACATTAAAAAGTTCCAGTATCTGGCCGACTTCCTTTTGAAGCACAAAGTCTTATTTTTTTCCCAGCCTGAGGGGTTTGAGGAGATCGATACTACTGTCCCGCTGCACAAATTCAAACTATATCCAAAAGCTAAGCTTAACACAAAGGCTGGCAGCAGTAGGAAATGACTCGCACATTTCTTGAAAGCTTGAATGCTAAAACCTCTAAACGTTTGAATTTGTATAGTGTTGCCCCTTTTTCACATGCAACATAGAACAGGAAATGGTTCATTAGTCACTGAATAATCTCATGTGGGCACAATTGAAAAAAACAGACTTTGGAAACAACAGCAAGCAGGTCAAAATAGACGCACCACGCTTAGTACTGTCTCTCAGTGACCTCATGCAGAGCCAAGAGTTGAAAAACTGGTGAAAACGGAGCATCTAGAGCAGTCTGAGGGATTTTTTTTATACACTTTGCTCAGGACTGCAGTGCCAGCTGAAAAGGTTAGAACTGGTCACATGGTGACAGGTCAAACTTCACAGTTTTTGTTGATTGTGTACCACGTCTTATCTTGTGATACTGGATATTTCTTCTAATCTTTCATCATAACCTCAAAACACAGGAACACAAGCTAAGCAGATGAAGAATGAGAATGGAGGAAGACAAAGAGAAGAAAACAAGTGACACAGATAGTTGAATATTTCTAGACAGCCTGGTGTTTTAGTGTATCCTTTTCAAGTTTTTGCATTTGACAAATTGAAAGAAAGAAAACGCATCTTTTGTGTTTTTTCGGCTTCACCTGAGCACGTCAATCTCGTTGTAGTTAAATTTGACTCGGTAGTCTCCAAGCCTTCTGCTGCTGCTCTGGCCCGCTATCTGGCCCGCTTGTCTTATCCGAGCTGAATCCAGTCCTGCAGGAGATGAGGGAAAACGGACACATGGACGGTGAATGCTTATAGGAGATGATTTTAAGAGAGAGGAAAATTTAGCAGAAGAGGTGAAGGGGAGGATGGAGCAAAAGCACACAACCGATAAGCAGAAGCAGAGGTGGGGACGGGAAGGGAGAGGGGTGCATCTGTGTGTTTGAGCCTGGATGAAAATGCGAGGGGTGAGAGGTCACCTTGGTCTGGGTAAATGGAACGACTGTCATTTTTTTCCAATCATTAAGAGAAGGACCTGAACAATGGAATAATAATGTGAATCCCAGCAAGAGACAAGAGAACAAAGCAAGGCAGAGAGCTCGGTCTCCACTAATGGTGTGCTGTGAAACGGCGAAAACACCCCCACACACAACAAAAACACACAAAAATGCGTCCGTTTCCCCATTTCATCCATTACAGGCCAGGCTGCACCTACTGCTCTATTGGCAAAGCTAATTACGATGTATGCATTTTCTGTTATATACACAACCCTCATTACTGGACCATTAGCCTGCTCTGTCCACCACGGATGAGCAACTGTGTGCTTTCTCTAATGGCTGTGTCTGTGCTGAGCGTTATATCAAGCACAACATGCAGGGAATGTAAGACGAGGTGTGTCTGACACTGTCAATCCAAAACCCTCCAATAGTAATGTGCCAAAAATCTATTTCTGTCCATCAGTCAGAACCAAGAAGAGTTAAAAAGAAATGTCAAGATTCCCTGACTGTATCTGAAAAGTACTTAAACTCTGAGTGATAAGTTCATCGTTTATACACCCACACCGAGCAGCGCTCCAGATTTATTTCCCCCCCATCTAATAAACACCAGTAAACTGAGAGCTATAGTTTTCATGAGAACAGCTAGAGATGCTCATCTCTCTTTTCCTATTGGCTACTGCTGTGCATTTTTCTTCTCACTTAGTAGGCGAGCCCCAGGTCGCTTGCGGGCTCTTCAGGATGCTGCTGCTACATTGCTAACTCAGTCTTACAGATGGTCTCATTACTTGCGTCCCTTCACTGGCTCCCAGTTGTATTCAGGGTCCAGTTTAAAGCGCTCAACCTCACATACTGAGCATCAGCATTTCACTCTTTTTATTTATTGTGTAGCTTCTTTTTTTTTATTCTAGTGTTTGTTTTATGGAAAAGTTTAGTTTTAGGGATATCCAAGTATGTATACAGTGAGGAATGTGTTGTTATTTGTAGTTTGCTCACTCACAAAGAAAAGAACAGTCTCTCATTTTTATGGTAGTGTCATAATGGAGAGACAGAATATCAATCAAAAATCTAGAAAAACACATATCACATAAAAGTTATAACACGGATGATGAGTATAACAATGCAGCCAGGTTTCTGGCTCCCACAGCCTGGCTGTGTGCCACTATTACTATCAGTCACTTACAAATACTCCTGGTCTCAACTTGTGTGTGTGTGTAAAGCACATCTGTCCACAGATGCAGCTTCTTCCCACCTCATCACCAACATGTGCAAGACCCAAGAGCTGTCAAAGGACGTCAGGGACCAAACTGTAAACCAGCACCAGGCTGGAATGGACAACAAGACCATCAGCAAGAAGCTTAGTGAGAAGCGTCAAACTGCTGGTGTGATTATCTGAAAATAGAAATATTTTCAACATCAAGCACACTCTGTCTGAGCTTATGCAAGATCTTGCCTGAAGATGGAGGATAATCACGTGAAAGGTAGTTGATTAGCTCAAAACTACACACGAGGAGCTTTTTAATGGTCTGATGGCAGCTGGGACCACAGTCACCAAGAACAAATTCAGTAACACACCGGTTACAAGTTTTAGACACCTAATGGACTCAAAAGGCTTGGGTGCAGGGACGGTTCTGGGGTCAGATGAAACCAAAATAATGCTATTTGGCATAAACTCAAAGTGCTGTGTTTAGAGGAAGACCCAAAGAACATCCATACAGTCAAGCACAGAGGTGGGAACAATAATGTATGAGGTACAGGAAGACTTCAGTGCACTGAGGGGTCAAACAAAGAAAAATCTTGATGAGAACCTCCTTCTCTTAACCAGAACAAAAGTGAAGATGTGTCTTCCAGCATGACAATGACCCAGAGGGTAGATAAGGAGTAGATCAAGAAAACATTAAGGTTATGTAGTGGTTAGCCAGTCTCCTCAGTCCTATAATAAATCTGTGGAGGGAGATGAAGCTTCCAGTTGTGAAGCAGCAGCCAAGAAACCTAAACGATTTAGAGATTCTCTGTAAAGACGAGTGGTTCAAAATCCCTCCTAAGATGTGTGAAAACCTGGTGACCAACTACAAATTTTTTTTTATTGCTGTGCTTAGCAACACGGTTTTTTCCATCAAGCACTAAGTCATGTATTGCTTGGAAATCAAATACCTGTTTCACTTTAATGAGATGTGCTTTATAACTTTAATGTAATGATAAATTTTCTGGATCTTTGGCTGATAATCTGTCTCTCTAAATAAAACTCAAATTAAAAAAATAAATAGACTGTTTATTTCTTTGTAAGTGAGTAAACGTACATGTTCAGCAGCAAATTCGGGATCAAATAATGATTTTTCTCCACTATGCCACATATAATGTGTCTCACCCAGTGCAGCCAGTCTCTGCAGCTCATCCTCGTTGTCAGTACTGTGCGGTCGGCCGATCTGAAGCACCTGGTTCTGGCCGTCACTGCTGGACTTGCACAGCAGGACTCGGTTCGTCCCTGGAACCAAAGGAAAACATGTTTGAAGGTAACTTGAAATCAGCAAGAGGTAAAACTGTTAGTTGAGTCGGTTGAAGTAGATACACTAAACTGTATAAATGATCTGCTTTCCCAAGAAGAAGAAGACACATTTTCTGAGGTCTTTCAATCACAGGTGCAGTTAGTAATACAAGTGACTGTATTTCCCTCTGATGTGTCGAGGTATAAAGTATGTTTGATCAGTGGATCAGCTAACAGTGAACTGGAACACAGCAAACATTAACAGTATTAGTTCCTCCTATGTTGTTGTTTTTGCTTAAAGACATTTAAATGTTATGCAAATATTAAGGCTCTACTGGATCATGAAACTGAAAGCAGCCATTATTGTTATACTTTACCCTGTGTTCAACAAGTCTAAATATCTGCTATTAACAAGGCCCCATTGTGCCTCCGATGTTTTCACTGAAGCTCTCAGCTAAGAGCTGATTCACCTCCAGGCCTTTTTCGACTTTAGTTGTTGTGGTTACTGGGGTGAATCATACTGAAAACTAATTTCAGTGTTTCTTGTCAAACCAAACTTTGAATGGTTGTATGTGTTACTTTTACAAGGAGAACAGCACCACACACACGATCAATGCTTTATTATTTTTTTACTATCTATAAAAAGCGCTTATGTGTTTTCATTACTCACCAAAGCTAATGCTGACTTAATTCCTGTTAAATTTTAATTAATTTTACTCAGCGTTGGCTGCAAACTAATGAACATCTGGTCGACAAACAAGTTTTTTTTAAAGGTTGTAGAGGTACCGTATTTTCACGACCATAAGACGCACTGTACTAAAAGGCGCAGTCTCAGTTATGTGTGCCATTACTGTATTTAACACACACATAAGGCGCACTGGATCATAGGGCGCATACAAGTACCGTATGCGTATTTAAAAATAAAGCGGGAGCAAACCTGAGTTCGGTACCTTACTCACATTTTTATTACCAGTAATCGTCATCATCAACAACACACAAGCATACAAGTGTGCGTATTTAAAAATAAAGCAGGAGCAAAACAAAGTTTGGTACTCACATTTTTATCATCAATCAAACCCATCGAAGTCCTCATCCTCTGTGTCTGAATTGAACAGCTGCGCTAAATCTCCATCAAACATGCCAGGTTCACTTTTCACTGTCTTCACGTCAGAGTCACTTTCCGTGCCGTGCGGCTCCTCGGAAACGATGCCGGCTTTTGCGAAAGCTCGAACAACAGTGCCAGCAGACATGTTAGCCCAAGCATCTACAATCCATTGGCAAATTGTGGCGTAACTCGCCCGGCGCTGCCTTCCACTCTTGGTGAAACTGTGGTCTCCATCGGTCATCCATCGCTCCCAGGCCGCTCGCAGCCTTACTTTGAACGGGCGGTTCACACCGATGTCCAGCGGTTGGAGTTCCTTTGTCAGGCCTCCCGGAATGACAGCAAGCTCACAGTTCATTTGTTTCACTAGTTTTTTTCACATCGGCTGTGAGATGGGCACGCATAGAGTCACAGATCAACAGCGATGGTGATGCGTGGAAAAAACCACCTGGTCTCCTTACATACACCTCCCTCAGCCACTCTTTCATCATTTCCTCATCCATCCAGCCCTTTTCATTTGCCTTAATGATGATTCCTGCTGGAAACTTCTCTTTAGGCAAAGTCTTTCGCTTAAAAATCACCATAGGCGGCAGTTTCTGTCCATTAGCATGGCAGCCAAGCACAACAGTAAAAGAAGACTTTTCATACCCCGTTGTGCGTATCGCTACCGTGCTGGTCCCCTTCTTCTCCACAGTGTGACTCACCGGGATGTCAAAAGTGAGCGGGACCTCGTCCATGTTTGTGATGTGGCTGGGCTGGATGTTTTTGTCGCCGATGTGTTTGCTGCAGTAGGAGCGGAAGATGGCCAGCTTTTCCTTATAATCCGCTGGAAGTTGCTGCGCTACCGTAGTCCTGGTCCGGATGGAAAAATGGCACCGTTTCATAAAACGAAAGCACCAAGACGGACCTCCTTGGAAATGTTCAATGTTCATCTCTTCAGCTAGTGAAACTGCTTTTAGCCGAATGGTGACCGTCGAAACGCTTCTCCCGCTCGTTCTTTGCTCGATGATCCACCGCTCGAGTCTTTCCTCCAACTCGGGCCACCTCGCCTTATGTCCGCGGAAACTCAGCTGCGTTTTCTTGACCTGCCGGAGCTTGTTTTCTAGCTTCCTCCATTTGCGAACCATCGATTCGTTAATCTTAAATTCTCTCGCCGCTGCTCGATTTCCATGTTCCTCCGCATAGCTGATGGCCTTCAGTTTAAACTGTGCTTCATAAGCGTGTCTCTTTGCCATTTTCAGGGTTGTTAAAACAACGATGTTCCACATAATGCACATACCTGTCCTTTTATACAGGTATGTGCGATTGTCCGGTATATACGATCAACGCCCACACTTCACCCTTTAGCGTTCTCATGGTGTTCTCTACTACGTCCTCCTTACAACACACAGGGCGCACTGCGCTATAGGGCGCACCGTACTTTTTGAAGAAAATCTAAGACTTTTAAGTGCGCCTTATGGTCGTGAAAATACGGTAAGTCATCAAATGGTAAAATAAGCTGTAATGACCAAAAGCATCTTTGTAAGCATATTGAGGCAAAATTGGGCCTTTAAGCATATTGTTTTTTCTGCACTATAAGGCGCACTTAAAGTCCTTTAATTTTCTCAAAAAAAGGCCAGTGCGCCTTATGTATGAATTCTGGTTGTGCTTACTGACCTCAAACCGATTTTATGTGATACACGGCGCTCAAACATCTGTCAAAAAATGTTTTAGTACGACTTTGGTAAGCAAGAAGCCGCACCGCTCGATGGATTGTCGGAGCGTTACGGCTACTGTAGTCAGGAGCCTTGTGGAGTAATCTGCGTCCTAAACTCCGTCTGCTTCAGGTCCCAAAGTCAAACGAACACTGCGGCACACTGTGAGTTAAAAACTGTCTAAATTCTTTCATCTTTAATAAAATGATCAGCACTGCTGCTTCACCAGGTGTAAAAATTCATCCAGGAGTCCATGAAAACAGAATATATTAAATTTAACAGAGTTAGACGTTAGAAGGAAGTTAGCTCGCTAGTTTCCACCTAAACATAGCATGTTCTAACTGAGAGATTTCTGAAAAAATTTAAATGTACAGCTCTGCTATCACTTCCAACATAAATGAAGACGGAAAACTAAACAGCAGTGACGTTTGTAGGGTTACTGACTGCTTAATGTGATTTATAATCCGGTGCGTCTTACGGTCCAAAAATACGGTACAAGTCTGCACAGTTTTTGGCACATCTGGATTTTCTTTATTCTTCAGCCCTGCTGGTTGCTCTTTGGTGTAGCCTTTTTTTAAAAAAGACCACAGAGCTAACATGTCTCTTTTAGCATCAAAAACAAAGGATTGCTTTTAAAATATTATATACATGTCAATAAACAGGTGCCATAAGGTGCAACTTCCATATAAAAGTTTATATAAAAAAGTTTTATGAAATAAAAACAAGACAAAAAATGTTAATTACAAAAAAAAAAAATACTGTCTCATCTTTCTCAGCCCCTATGCATATTCATGAGACATTTGGGCTTCTAATTTTTGCACGCATTAATCATGCAGAGGCTTTGATGTTGCTCTGAGGTTACTCACAGGTCCGACTCTCCACCAATTAACGAGCTAAGACACTGTGGTACTTTTAAAAAGCTAAATATTAATTATTTGCCTCTGCAACCACACAAAAGCTGAGCAGGGAGAGATCAATGATTAATTCACTTTTATATTAATAGTTTGGGGCCGCTGAGCCGAAGCACGGTGCAGTTCCACGCTGCCCCCGCCTCCGGCCAAATCTTATGTTCGGCTGTGTGTGTGTGTATGTGTGCGTTATTCATATAATCCGCACATAAGGGCATCTGGATCAGCCCCAATACACAGGGAGGGGTCCGTGTCACCTTCTGTGTTAATCAGGTAGTGTTGGGTTTAAATCTGATGTGATAGTCAGGAAAACACACGTCTGTTAATCTGTAAAGAGCAGCCAACCATTTCTGATATTGAGCGTTTACATATCGGCGCCCTTCCCCCTTTCTCCAAACACTCCAACTTGCAGCTCAAACTGTGACTCACATGACCTTAACTGTCAAACTGCGTTTCACATCAACACACAGCTGGGAGTGATTTTCAAGCACACTTACTCCTATGTTTAAACATCCCTGGGCCTCATGTTCTGTCAACTTTGAACTCTTGACCCCCCCCCCCCCCCTCACTCACACAAAGCACCAGAGGGGACAACAGTCCCTCCTTTCTACCATCTACTAATTACTACCCACCTCCCCATATTGTGCCCTGTTCCACGTCCTCAAGGACAAAAGAAAAATCCAACTGAGAGGGAGGGGCTCTTTTCCTGTGTGTGCCCCAGCATCAAATCAGGAAGCTAAAAGAAAGAAACGTGAAGCAGTGCTTTTAAAGGGTTTTGCAAAACTGAGGTATTTCCAATAGGTAAGATTCATCCCCTGGATTAGTGAATAAATCCACCAAAAATAGGAATATCCAGTGTTCACATTTATCTGAAACAAAGCTCAATATGCAGCAGCCTTTGGCAGCAGCTTTGATGATTATTAGACTGAAATCCTTCTGGGGGAAAATCGCTGTCGCTCTTCAAAGTTGGTGCGTCTGTGTGGGAAGAACTGCGCCCTGCTGCCTTGTTTGAACTTTCTTACAGTTAAGGATCTAAAATGGCCTGCGGGTTTGTGTATTCAGATATTAACAGTAGATGCTCGTTTTCCACTCTGAAGCTTAAAGAACACATAAACACACACAATAAATCATGCAGGCAGAACTAGCTGTTATGATGCTAGTACTGCAGCTGTTGTCCGCGGGAGCCGAGTCGGCAAGCTGGGATTTAAAAATATTGATGGACACTGTTGGTATGGTTTGAATTAAAAGAGTCAATATCATTCCATAACTCCATCTGTCTGTGGGCTGCTGGAAACACAGCATGTGGAAATGCTGTGATGGCATTTGGTTATATACTAACCAAATCACCATCTCTGACGAGGCTTCAGCATTGATATATAGCATATATTATATTGCCAAAACTATGTTTGACTGCTTTTACATGCATCTAACTCGAGTAACATCCCATTCCCGTTTAACGTGATGTTGACCCCTTTGCAACTATATCAGCTTCAACTCTTCTGCAAAGGCTTTCCTCAAGGTTTCGGAGTGATTATGGTGTTGGATGATGTTGGACGAGCAGTCCCAGCTCACAGTCTAAGCTCTAATTCATCCCAAAGGTGTTCTGTTGGGTTGATGTCAGGAAAACTGTGGAAGCCAGTCAAGTTCTCCCACTAAAATTTGCTTATTCATGGACCTTGCTTTGTGCACTGATCTGCAGTCATATTAGAACAGGAAGGGGCCATCTCCAAACTGTTCCCATGAAGTTGGGAACATGAAATTGTCCAAAATGTCCTGGTACGCTGAAGCATTAAGAGTTCCTTTTACAGGAACTAAGCCCAACTCCTGATCAATAACCCCACACCATAATCCTGCCTCCACTAAACTTTACACTTGACACAAAGCAGTCAGACAAGTAACGTTCTCCCGACAACCACCAAACCCATGCTTGTCCATCAGAACTGCTAGACGGAGAGGTGTGATTCGTTACTCCAGAGAACACATCTGCACTGCAGAACATTTCAGCTGGACTACTCCTAGTACCTACAGCTGATGCTGAGCATTCAGCATCAGCTCACATAGTTGGTTAAAAACAAGAAAACCCCAAATACCCTCTATGAAGAGATGGAGGTTTCATGGCTTTAAAAGAGAGTCTGGCAGCACTCTTTAGAAAGAGAAGTCACATAGGAGTCTGCAGAATCTGCCACACAAGTTTAAATCTACTATTTATGAGTGTTACGATTTTTTCTCAGTGCTGTCAGGTAGCTATCAAGTTCCATGGCAGCTGGCATAGATTTATATGTATGTTTTGTCTTCACTAAACATTTCTGCGTGTGGATTAACAACTCATTTTTCCCCTCCTTTACCTAGTTGATAGGCAATGAAATGACACAAAAATGTTCCCCGCTTGTGTTCGTTTGCTTTGTTTAAATAAGAATACTTTAAAGTGGGACTATTATGCTCTTTCCTAGCGCCACCCTATCAGACAGCTTTCTTCTCATCAGCTTCACTCGAAAAAAAAGTCTGAACAACAGGTGGGAAAGGCCTCTGTGATCAGTTTTCCAAACGTCAGATGTAGCAGATCCCCAATACCACTGGCTGATTTGAAGTGTCACATTATAACAGAGCCGGCACCTTATTTTATAGATGGCTGCAGACACTCACTGTTGTACCTCTCCCCTGACCTTCTCTGTACATACTGATGATGACTTGAACCAAAGATATTACATTTCAAATGGATTAATCACTGCATATTTTGTGTTGCCACGGTTTGTTATTGTGTAATTTGGCATGCCTCAGCCTTTTCTTCCTGTTTCCCTTCCTCAAAAATGCGTTCTTGACAGCCAGCCTTCCACTGAGACCATCTCTGACGAGGCTTCACCATTTCTTTGCAAGTTCAGTTTAGGAAATGGGAACAAATTCTGTGTTTTAGTGCCAAGCTTCTAGTAACAAAGTGCCTAAAGATACAATTTAAAATGAGTTCTTTATCAAGTTGTTATGTGTAGACACTGCACTGCTTCATCCTTTGACACAAACTATTATTCCCTAATGTAACACTATATTGGCTCTCAACTGCATCAGGATGCAATACAGCCATTTCTCCAACCTTTAATAAGGAAGGCATTATTCTCCATCAGTGAACAAGTGCATTCCATAAGTATATATAGAGACTTTACTATTTAATGAGATAAAACATGAACAGTCATGAACATTAAAGTCTCTTGTTGCAGCAGCTGCCCACTGAGCCAGTTTTGACACTGTGGAGCTAACATGGATTTTCATGCTGAAAGCGGCCTCGGTCATTTTCACAGAGTGGCCAGTAACCAAACACAAATCTGTGTGAAGCCTGACATCTGCTGGTGCAAAGCAGACTGTGTCATGGCTGTCTGTTACTGGCTGGCCTTTTGGTGGTTTTGCTGCCAACTGTTTCTGTTGCAAATGATTGAGTGCGATCACACATTAAACAGGAAATCAAAGCGTCATCGCTGACATAACCAGAATCAACTTACCAACGTTTGCAATGTAGAGCTTGTTATTGAGAATGAGCGCCACCGCAACCGTGGCGCCTCCTGACACCTCCTGCTCTAGCTCCTTCAGCCGCTCCATCACCTTTTGACTCTGAGGAGAAAGCTGGTGGAACGGAACATTCTGATTGGCCGAGAGGTGAAGGCACAGAGTAAAAGATGGAAAGGAAGAGGAAAATGAAGCAAGTAGGAGCGGGACAGATGATAGGAAATGAAGGGAAAAAAGAGAGAATTAGACAAATGATAAAAAAAGCAAGAAAAGAATAAGAGCTGAGTATCTTATCTGACGAAAGAGAGTGATGAGCCCAAATAAAAGAATAACAAGCTCATTCTCCCGTGGCTAAATACTTGCTCACATCAAAGCCTAAATCTGTGGTTGTTATGGAGACCAAAAGAGAAAAGAAAAAAGTGTTCCTACCTCATTGTGCGGTAGGAGGTAGTTGCTCAGGTTAGCCTTCTCAGCCAGAGCATCATCTATGGTTTCAAAGTAGCTCTTCTCCACCACATCAAAGGCCTGCAGTGCAGCAACAACAGCGTGTATAATGTCAAGTGTCAACACACGTGAGAGCGAGCGTCACTACTGAACACTTAATGCTACTGAAATGTCAACTCAGGCTTAATGGGCCTGGACTGCAGCTGGCAGTGATGGTCCTTGTTTTGCTCTTGTCCCGAGCAGAACAAGGACCATCACTGCCAGCTGCAGGCCAAGAAGCTACAGTTGGAGATTCAATGAATGAAAACAAGGACCACGAGATCAGCAGGTAGAGGAAGTAGAGAGTGAACTTTCAGAACAGCAACGAGGGGATTGTCTGCTACTGAATGAATTGCAGATGGCACTGAAGACATGACAAACATAAGATAAGAACACACATGCAGCCCGTGTTCACACAAAAAAATACTTATTACATATGTGCACAGAAAATTTATAATCTATAAACTACAACAGAGAATTTTTACTGACTGAGTAGTGAAAAGTGAAAAACACCTGGGAGACCTGCTATGTGAGGGAAGCACAGTGTATGAATACGGTTCATTTATGCCACAGTGCATAAATGTCTATAATCTGACTAGCCCTTACATGCACTGCACGGTTATGTTTCATTTTTTGTTTAACGCAAAAAGCTTTAAGTCGCATTAAACGATCGTTAAAAAGTGAAACAGGCATTTCACATTAACTATGATTTAAATAATATCCATAAATGTTTTTGTAATGTGGGGGAAAATAAAACCGCTGGCTTAAGTATTAAATCAAAATATGTAGCGGCAGCAAACGCAAGCAATGTCTTCGAGGCAAGAATGAGATTTTACACTTTTATTCATTTATTAAAATAATCAGCGCAGTTTCTGCCTCAAGGAACTGCGCTGATTATTTTAATAAATGATAAGGCTGGCGTTTCTCCAGATTAGCTTATTAATGACATGTTTCCGAAAAGTTTTATACAGCATGTCTGAGTATATATTTTTTTCCATATGAAAATAAAGCCTTGTTTATAATGTATTAGTATTATTTATATACTAAAAGGTAATAACTTCAATGTATCTTTATTTTAAACATATCTGAGAGTAGTTTAAACATTTAACCCTCACATAGCGACCACGGTGGGCCAGTGCGTTTCTATGATTTTGTATAAAACACCCTGTATTTTAACATTTTTGAATAATATCAACACTTAGCAAAGGACCAGGACTAAAAATAAAAATGTGAAGATGAAATATTTTGTGATCTTTCACAGTTTTACCCGAGGCACCTCAAACACTGCGGTCAGTGTTTCTTCTAGAGGCTCTCAGATCACCGGTTACCTCGTAATACCAGGTGTGGAGCGTCCACAACTATTTACTATGGAGGAGGCTGCTTGTGAAAGGAAAGCGATACAAGTCGCTGAGTCAGTGAACCTCACTTCTTCCTGAACACAGCAATACTGAACTGAGTTGTTGAGGATTTCCAGAACCTTTCCGTAAGTGTGTGCTGCTGTTTTTGGCACTGTTAGCTGCTGTTAGCCTGTGTTACTGAAACCTCCTTCAAAGTGGAAGTACAAGGCTGGACTTGGACTTTTAGTGAATAAACTCACATACAACCTGAGGATGTAATCAAACTGTTTAGCAGAGGGAAAGCGTGCTTTTTTAGGACACTCTAGCATGTTTTCTGGCATAATGTTAGCTTATAATTAGCAACTGCCGTCACAGCTGGCTCTTGTCTGCTGTCGGGAGACATGAGGGGTCACATGTCTGATCTGCTGAAAATCAGCAACTACAACAATACTAGGAATAAATAAGCACGTTCATAAACATTTTTGCGTGTAAGATCCCTGTATTCAGTTCAGGACATGGGGCTTCAGGTGAGCATGGAGCTGGAGGAGGCAGATGAAGAAGAGGAGGATGACAAAGAGATGATGAAATGTACAAAAATAAAAATAAAAATGACCCAATTTCTGTCATCGTCAATAAAATGATCAGTGTGGCTGCTCTACCAGCTCTACTTTGATCCACCTGCCACCAACACAAGGTTAGTCATTGTGCACGGTTTTGACAACTCGCTGTGAAAAATTTCCTGATCTTAAGCTACATGTTCCAACTGAAAGCCTCAGAATGATTCTTTCATGGATCGCTCATATATTTGGTTATTAAACGCAGAGCTTGGGACCAGAAGCAGGGCTGACACAGACTGGGCTAAAGAGGCTTAAAGATTCATTTTGTGTGTGCAGTGTTTTGTCACAGGCTCTGCCTTAACAGACTGCAAAAGCAAGAAAATGTTTCTAGTTTCTTTCCTCAACAGTTACAGCAGTTAACTTAACAGACCTGTGTGAGGATCCTGCGGACGTCGTTGTCTGTGTGACCGGAGTTTAGCTGCCCCAGGAGCAGTTCCGCTGTCAGACACTGGGAAGCAAAGTTGGCCACTCTGCTGCCATCGTAACCATTAAAAACCCCGTACAGGAAACAGCCATCGTCACCTCTGTGGGAAAAAAAAGAAAAGCTCAACAAACATGGCACCTATGTTTGAAAAAACTATGGATTACTCTCAGAGCCGTGCTATCTTTACACGTTCTCGCTGTGTTTGTTGCAGTAACAACTGTAGATGTAAGAACATTTGTATAAAAATGATTCATTTATAAATAATTAGACGAGCAAAGTCACAACGATGAAACACATTTCTCTGGCAGAGCCTGAGCCTCTATAAAAAAGGGACAAATACCAACTACCTATTTCTTTACCGCTTCAGTGACTCAGACATTACCAGTGCACATTAAAAGCTACATGTTTATGTGCTCTGCCCAGGCATTGCTGTGTTTTCCTGCTAAGTCCAAGATCTTTGTTTTTCTGTGAGATTAAATAAGAAACTATTCAGGATTTTACTGGTAAGAAACACTGCTACCGACAAGTTTGATCATAAATCTCAGTACAGTTTTAAGTGAATGAGTCAGCAAGTTTCCTTACAACATTAGCAAGGACTGGCCCAAGTAAACAGACAAACTCAAAGTGGATGCATTATGCATGTTCCCTGCGCAGTATTAGTTTAATTCTTGCACTTTCTAAAGCAGCTCTGAACAAGTCACAGTTCAAAACGATGACCCTTATTTGTCTCACACTGGACGAATCGTGTACCTGAACCTGAGGTGTCCATCCTCGTTGGGGTGGCTCTGAGTTCCTTTGCCATCAGGGCCGTACACACAGTTGGGTGCTGTTCCGACCCCACACATCTGACACAGAGGCAGGTCATCTGTCCAGCTTTGATGCTGCTAATAAAAAAAAGAAAGAAATCAAAAAAGAAAAATCAAACAAATACTTGGCCTACGTGCTAAACTCAAGTTTGAAAGCAGTATTTGTTTAAACTAAAAGATTTAAACTGACACAGAAATTAATTAAACTGTCATCACAGATATTTTCCCTACACCTTTATCCTATAAAGTTGCCATAATGAAGACACCCCAGCATCAAACCAGCTTTGATATGATGAGGTTTCATTGACATTTGAATTTATTAAATGGTCCAACAGGAAATTACAAACACTTCTGTCAGATGCAGCAACACACTCAGCACCGATGGTACTTTTGTTTGTACTGCAGCCTCCCTGAGCCAGAAGAATAGGTCATTCATCATTAGGTGCTCCTATTATACTATACTATACGATTTATTTTGCATTACTCTTAAGTATATTTCACTGTTAACATTGTAGATGACGTTCCTGGTGTCAGTCACTATAAACACATTCAGTATACTTGTAATGGAAAGTGTCGCACACAGTCGTGGTGAAAACAAAGCACATCCTCTTTCAATTCTAAAGTTTTATTATCATAAAGTTAAGTTTTTATTATTTACACAAATTAAGCCAAAATGGAGAAACTGTGTGTGAATAAACTAAGCACACCGTTACTTACACTGCTTCCAAGTGAACACCTCTATAACATCAGACATTTTGGCTGTTGAGATGTGTGTTACACGCATAAGGAAAGACGCTAGCGATGATCTTAGAGAAGTAAGTGCTGTCTCAATCAGTCTGGGGATGGTTGGAAAGGTTAGAAGTTCTTTTCTAAACAATTTGAAACTGGGTACAACTTTAGGACTGAAAGAGAGTGTGTTTACTTTTCACTGTGACTGTGAACGACACTTTCTATTACAGATAAGCCAATGTCTTTATAGTGATATCGATACAGCAGATTATAATCTACATGGGCAGGTTAATACTCTGAGGTTTTGCCACAGTGCACAGTGACATGTTTGGACAAAACCAAACACACCACATCAGCAGAAATGCAACTCAAGAGGACAATGATCCAAGTAACAAGTCTACAGGAAAATGGTGGAAAAGGTGTGGGGGCTGTGGCTCAGTTGGTTTAGTGAAGGGATGGGCAACTCCAGGCATCAAGGCCGGTGTCTTGCAGGTTTTAGATATCACCCTGGGTCAACACACCTGAATCAAATGACCAGTTCACCAGGCCTGTGGAGAACTTCAAGACATGCGGAGGACATAATTTAGCCATTTAAATCAGCTGTGTTGGATCAAGGACACATCTAAAACCTGCAGCACACCGGCCCTTGAGGCCTGGAGTTGCCCACCCCTGCTTTAGTGGGCTGCCTGCCAATAGGAAGGTTGGTGGATCAATTCTCGACTTCGATGAGTGTGTGTTAACACACTGTAGACAAAAGAACTTTATAAATGTGTGTGTGTGAGAGAAAGAGAGATGGAGTGGCTATCACTTATAACAGAAGCACTTTCAGTGCTCAAATACAGCAGAAATGCGCTAAGAGCCAGTCCATTTATTTGTTGCAATAGTCCAGTCTTCAACCTGATTGAAATGCTGTGGTGGGGGATGTGCATAAAGAGATACTAATAAACCGAACAATGAAGTCAAACAAAGAAAAGTCAGCCAAAGTTCATCACAATGATGTGAGGTAGTGATAAAGTCGTACACAAAACTTCAACAACTGCTGCTTAAGGTGGTTCAACAAGCTACTGAATCGTGGTCGCTTTCAGACTGCTCCTACATTTGAACTTATTTAACAAGAACTAATAACAGTGTGTCTGTCATGTGTTGTTGTTCATCTGAGGTTGTATTTACCTGCTCAGAAGGATAAACTGTGTACTTCCGTTTTACCACACCTGTATCTGCCTTACCTTGCCTAAAGTTTTAATGTGAATCATTGACGCCCGGGAGAGACCGATAGCATCTCCGCGTAGGGCAAATGGGAAGCAGTCTATGTAAAATTGTCATAAGATATCTACATAATCACAAAACGACTGAGAAAAGTTAGTCGCTCGGAAAAAGTCGTTTGTGTTGTTCACAATATGGCTAATTACCAGTTTGTGACTCTCAAGTTTAGCTAATTCACACAGGTTATATGGACCATATCCCAAGCACTGCAACTGCAACAACAGCATCGGTCGTGTTATTGTCTCCTCCTGCTTCAAGTGATAGCGTTTCTCGGTGCTAATAAATCGCTAATAAATCGTATTAGTCCAATTTTTTTCAATTAAGGTGCCTAGCTAACTGTTAGCCAAACACTCCATGAGCTCAACTAAATTAGCTACACAGGAAGCATTGGACCAAACAACCAGCGATGAACACCGAGAAAAAGACTGTAAGACGCCAGTCTTCAAAAGCAGAGGAACTTTGCACATATTGAGTTACTGAGAGTAACAAACGGCAGGTTTTTCCACTTACGCTCTGCATCAAATTCCTACGCTGGGCCGCCATGTTGAACGGAACTCGTTACGTTCACGATTCAGCACAGAGGTAGAAAATCTCAGCTTCAAAGTCTGAAGTTGGAAGGCAAGCTATGCGAGAGTAAAATTGAACTAAAAATATATATCTAAACCGACAGCTAAATTCACCATTACCAGGTAGTATGTGGATATGAAACGTATTCGCATATTAAAATTAATGTTATCGCGTTTTAACAACAGGAACTGCATACACGTCTTGCTTTCTTATACCCGTCTTTCCTAATTCTTCCACATGCAAGTCTGTGAGCCATGATCCAAATTCAGGGGCTGCGCCCTTTGAAGGATATCGGAGACAGTAAGATTTACACTCGTATACTAAATTGCTTCAGCAATTCTGATGGTATTTGAAGGCACCATATAACGTCAAGCTCGTTTGTTTGTTTGGGCTTTTTTAAAATCTCTTTCTAAGCGTGCTTTGTATTTCCATAATACATTTTTGATTTGCCTCATTTATAAAGTGGAAAAGATAAGTAAATAATAATAAACTGAAAAAAAACTGTTTAAATAAATAATAAAACGACAAAAAGAAAGGAAGAAAAACTCCCGACTTCTGCTTTTTTGCTGAACCGGATTTCTTTGACAATACCGCCACCATGTGTTTACCATAAACTACCTCTACCTACCACTTTTTGCTTTACACTTTTTATGTTTATTGTGATTGTAATTTCTTAAACTACCATACTAAACTTCTATATATTCAATCGCCTTTCCAAAAAAGTAGCACACATTCTTAATTTAGTATTTTGTGCTTGGACTATCTATTTTTCCATATTATAAAATTAGCCACACATGCGCTTAGCAGCTTTAATCTTCTCGAATTAACTATTATAAAAGTACATTAACAGTGTGAACTAAAACAAAAGAAAGAGCAAGTTTAAAGAAAAAAAAAAGCTGAATAACTGCATTAAATTAAAAGCTGTCTTGCAGTTGAACTCGCGGGTAAAACTCCTGCCAGCAGGGGGAGCTGTGTCTTATAAATAGTGGACGAACCAGCCTGCTTGTGACCATTTACAGCTTTGAAAAATAAATGGATAAACGTTTCCTGCATAAGTAAGCTCACCCCAGGTGAAAAGTTGATGTTTTTCAGCATTCTCTATAAAGGTCTAAGAGAGATACAACATTTAGAAGTTAAATCTTGAGCCACCCCCACATCAAGTGGTCTTCAGCAATAGTTCTCCATGCTTTCTGACAGTCTTTCAAAATATTTCTTTTGCCATTGAGTGATTTATTTATTTATTTTTTTAAACCTCATTTTCCGTCCAGTCTTTGTGCACGACTATTTTCACAGGAATGTTTTTGTTTCGTGTCATTGTTAAGCCACTTAGCCCGTGAATGATAGAAATAAAACATGTAAAATAATTTGCAAAGACCTGTTGCTGGCATATCCCAGCAATATGTTTAGTGTGCCCTCAGAAAATGTGAGGACACTGGATAAGAGGAGGACAAGATGTGAAGTGGCAGGCCTAAAAAATATCTACACGAGATGAATAAGATCTGTAAGTCATTTCGTTGATCCATCTGCTGTTCAACGAAACCTCATCAGAAACTGTTTGAGTGAACGGGTGGCTGACAAGAAGCCATTTTTAAGGAAGGGAAGAGAAAAGAAAAAAACGATTGGACTGTAAATCAGTGCCAACAGGTATCACAGTGAGTGTCTACAGCCACCTGTAAAACCCAGTGGACGCTCTGTCCTTTTTGGGGGGGGGGCAGCATTTCAACCAGAGCTGTGGGGATCTTGTCAAAATTGCTAAAATTATGAACTCAGAGAAGTACTATTAGAGCTTGAGCCAGATGCAATAGCATCGGGAAAGCGTCTGATTGGGAAAGGATAAATTCTTCAGCACAAAAACAACCACACACACACTGCCAATGTATTTTAATTCTGAGGGTTGGCTCATAAAGTTTGCACAGTACTGTAATCCAAAAATCCAACACCAGAGATTCTCATCTCATCTTGCATTTTTGTTCAGTATTTTCTTTATTTTTATTGGTTAAAACCACATCAGAAACATACATTTGTACACAATTGTTTTTTCTTTAATCTTAATTTGCTTCATTTCACAGAGGAACATCACACATTTCTACGTCTACACAGATGTACAGCATAAAGTATATATGTGCATATATACTTTGATAATTTGGTCACATTTTCCGTAGCCATATATATGTATGCATATTTTAATATTTAATATTGTTATCCCCAAAATAAAAACTTCTCCTTACCTCGAGAGCAACACAAAGGATGAGGCATGGATAACCTCACCATATATCTTATCACAATAACACTCAACAGACCACAGAGCTTTCTTTCTTTTGTCTTTTTTAAATATAGAACTAACTTAATGCCCTAAAATAAAGCAGAATCTTTTTCAAACACTGTTATATACTCAATTATAGATTTACATATGTTTATACAGACAGATACACTGGAGAAAAATGGAGCACAAAAAATGGAGCGATGCATGTTCATAAATATTGAGGATGCCTGCAGATTTGTTGACAACGAGCGGAAAACACACACAAGTTTTCCGCAGACCTGCTGATAAGGAACGCTCTATACTGATGACAAACGCTTGCTTTTGTAAAGTGGTTTGACGTGCTCAAGGACAAAACAGGACCAAATTCGTTTTGCTGTACATTAAGACTTTGAAAGAGGGCATCAGTGTGTTGTGGAGGCTTGTGTTCCTGCGTGATGGATTCTGCTTGGCAGTCAGCACTAAGGCAACAATTGAGGACAGAAAAAGCTTCACAGGGAAACATAAAAACATTTCAAGGAAAAAAGAAAAAAAGGACAAATTTCAATACAAACAGTCTCATTATACAGGGGAGGGGATGAGTTGCCTGATACGCCACTGCTGCTTGTTTATTTATGCTGATATCCTGTAATGGCCCATCGACGAGTTCTGTCAGCAAAAACTTGTGTTCGCAGCATCGATAGGCTGTGAACCTGTGCGTGCGTGTCTGTTTGGGAGCGTTTTAGCTATCGCACTTATTTTGCTGACCGACTGAAGACCTCACAAGTTGAAGGCAGTGTGGTCACAAGCATTGATCAGCTACAGGGTGACCTGCCGATAGTTTCTAATCCACCCCCTGCCCCCAAACCCCGAATTAACACCTCCAGTAAAACCTGGCGTGTTTGCACTCTGTAGCTCCTTCCCAAGGATGAAGTGAACCCACTGATGTTTGTCTACCTAACTGCACCTTCCTGAGATCACCACCTGTTACCTATGCATCCAAAATCTGGGGGATGCCCAAGATTTCTTTGTGGAGGTTTTTTTTTTGACAAAAAGACAGATAAACTTGCCAGAATTGATGACATTAACTTCTTCTGATTACTACAGTGTTTGTCACGTGGGATAAAAATCACCACCTAAATGCAGAAGCTGTTGTTAAGATCACAAAGTCAACTGAGCTGATCGTTGGTGTAAGTCTTAAATGTAAAATGTCATAATCTCTCCCTGTTCTTTTTAAAAGTACGCTCTTTTTTTGTTGTACTGACCTTTAATAATATGTTTTCTTTACATTATTTATTGTCACAGGCACATTATTTTGTGCACATAACCAGGGGTTAAAGTGGGTCTTAACAATTTTCTGGTACCTTGAGTTAATAAATAATAAATGATTGTGGAATGAGTCATTCTTCTTATGCTTCAGCCTGGTGTTACTTCCAGTGATGGCCTGGAGACACTTGCTCAGTAGTAAGAAAATAACAACACACCACAGAGCTTTTACACATTAACACGTCCCCTTTTCCTTCTCATCCCTGTGATGTGTTCATGGTGCAGATGTAAAGTTGTGGTCGTGGTACTTCCGCATCTTCCTCGCACTAAAGACGAGGAGAATAAATGGAGCAACTTAGTGTACTTCCCAGAGAGAATTTCATCTCTGAGATGAAATTTAAAGCTGTAATAAAATTGGTTTCAGAGTTTTAAAATCTACACGTGTTGTCAAACTAATTGAAGTATACTCATTTTAGACAGTCAAAGACTGCAGGTTAGTGTAGTTAGTTTGCAGTTCTGTGATAGAGCTTACAATGATGCACTGTGTTAGACTGTTATAGGCTGTGGTGTTGTGGTGTTAGCTTACATCAGGTGTAGCAGACATCAATTTACATTTAAGGTGATTGCGTGGTGCACACTTACTCATAGAATCCGATCTTTTTATACTAACTTTTTACTGTCTAGGTGAAATCAGCCGTACATGCAGCTGCTTACATCTTGTGAATAACAGTGAATATCGAGTCACAGCATGAACACAAAGAAAAATCTGCTGGAACTCAAAAACCAAACAAGGATTTTATGTGAATTATTTCAAAGTAAATCTTTTCTCCCCATGCTGCACCGCTACATCCGATCTTCAGGTTTCCTCACCTGCCAGATCCCACTTTAACCCCTGCGCGTAACAATAAAAACAGTAAATTGTAGCAATAAATTTGCAACTCAAAACTTGAGGTTGTTGGATCTAGGATGTGATAAAAGATCTGCCCAATACACCAAGTAATGGATTCAGTGTTTCTTGTGTAACACAAAACAGCACAAATATTATTTTGAAGTAGAAACCTTGGACAACTTCATCAGCATACATAAATGTCTCCTAACATCTCAGTATTCTTGACGCTGGTAGCCTCCGGATCCATCGAAGGCCCCGTCACTGTTGGTCTGGCCTCCTCCTCCTCCCGGGCTCTCCAGGTCATCCCCACCGAATGAGGTGTAAGGGGCTCCGGCTGCATCCTGGCTGGGGTCTGTGTAGTCCTGGGAGAAGAGGGCCGAGTCGGCCCCTAGCTTGTATCTCTGGAAGGCCAGGAAAGACTGGCCCGCCTTGGCGATGAGGATCGTAAATGGAAAAGGACGAGGAGATGAATAGGAGGCGATTGAAGACAGATGATGAAACAGAGACGTGACGATGTTAGTGTGAGGAAGGGAGGGGTCAGACAACAAAAGACAGGAGGACACAGTGGTTAGTTGGCTGGAAAGCTTGACAACATTATTAGACAGCTTTAGTGAATCAGTCACAGTGAATTACTTCCTCAAGCAGCAGCACAAAAAACGCTGCTCGTACATTGTGTAGCTCTAGAAGAAGAGCACGAGTTCCCCTTGTGTTGATAATTCAGAAAGGAAATCGTGGGACAAGCCAGAGGTAAAACAGAGCAACACAGAG